CGCTCATATATATATATATATATATATATATATATATATGAGTTATTTTTTAAAAACTTTAAATATATATAAATCCTTTTCTATTTCTACAAATTTGAATCGAATCAAACAAATTTATTTTTTTATTTTAATCGATGTAAGATAAAAAAATATTGACTTAAATATATTTTTAAATTTTATAAAATAAATAAATTTTGATTTTGATTTTTATAAACATTTTTCTTTACTTTTTGTCCTTTTAAAATTTATTAACATTATTTTTAATCCTAGTGAAATGAATATATTTTAATTTTAATATTTATAAATATAATTTTTTTTAATTTTATTTATTTAAAATTTAAAATCATTTTTTTATCTTAACAGTTATTTTAACATAAATAAATAACAATTATTTTAAAAATCTATATAACTTAAAAGTGTCAAACACTAATATTATGTCACTAACAGTCATAACTAACAATAAGATGACCATTTAGCATATTAATAAACAAAAAAAATAGTTAAAAATGATCACATAAAAAATAAAAATTAAAAATGATAGTTTTAATTTTACACAAATAAAATTTTTTTTTATAGGAATCAAAATTAAAACTTATTTTATTCTATGATGCCTAGAAACATTTGAGTAAAAAATATATTTTTAAAAGTATACTTTTCTTTAAAAAATATTTAGAGAATAAAAAAGGTAAGAAATATGTATTATTAATTAATCCAATACCCAGTTTTGGATATCAATTCAATCAGCAACCATTTATATATGATTTTTTTTTTAAACTTCAAATATTTATAAATATTTTTCTATTTCTACTAAGTCAAATTGAATTGACAAATTTAGTTTTGGGTTTAATTAATACGCCATGTTAGTATATCCCATGTAATATTTAATGAATTACTTATTTATATTGTTAGATTTTTTAAAACTTTATTAATGAACTACTTATTATATTTATTCAGGTATTAAATTTAATAATAATTAAACGCCTAATTTGTTTTAATTATGGTAATAGACGATATACTAATTAAAAAAAGTTAAAGTTGTGAAAATGAATTGAATTCATAGGTCAACTCATCCGTGACAAGTTAAATTTTTGCCCATTTTAATTATAAAAGTTAAATAATTAAATTTAGAATTTGACTTATAATATAATTCATTGTAAGTCGTGTTGATTGTTCATTATTTTTTTTCTTCTCAAATTTTAGTTTATTATATTATATTTATATTAATGATTAAATTTTAAATATATTAGTTAAAATATTAATTTGTTAATATCTAAGGTAACTATTTTTTATTTTTAAAAGTGTGACTTGACCTATTAATTTATTTAAAATTATATTTTTTATTGATAATATTAAACAAGTTAACAAGTTAAATTTTAAATAATTTAATAAATATATATTTAAATATGTTTTTAATTTTTTTAAATTTGTGTAATTTTTATATATTATTATAATAATTTAAATTTTAACATAAAAATATAAAACTAATATAGCTAAAAAAATATTGAATATAATTTTATATATAAGATGACAATAACATTGCACACCTATATAAGAAATAGATTCAATATTTTATCGTTATTTTTTGTCTACTAACTACTGACAGTTATACTTATTATACATGAATTGATATAAAAAATATTATATAAAAGAGGAAGGAGTCATTTTTGTTAGAAATATAACCCATACATGAATATATACATTAATACATACGTACATTAATACATACTAATGCACAAATTATAATAAAAGATGATTTATCTTATCCATTTTTTTTTAATTATATTTCATTTGACATATTTTAAATATTAAATTTTTATTTGGATCATTTTAATTTTTAAAAATTAAGTCAAACGATCCACTTTAATAACTCTAAAATAAAAATTCAAATCTCATGTAAATAAACTATAAAACTAAATTAACATATACCATCTCTTTTCTTATATATATTATTTTCAACATTATATATAAGACTTTTTTCACTTTTTTATTTGTTATTTTTAATATAATTTTATAATTATCAATTATATTAATTATATCTTCTATAAAATATCATTATTTAATGAATATTTATTTTAGACAAAAGATAATAAATATTTAAAGATAATTAAATACATTTTTTTCTTTTTTATTAGGATTATAAAAAATAAATAAATATGTAAATATCTCTCTTCCAAACATTAATTAATTAATTAAGTGAGAGAATGATTAAGTGAAAAAGAAGAATATTAATTTTAGAAAAACAACTTAAATCATTATCAAATTTAATATTTTTAAGTAAATTAATTAATTTTCTCAAAGAGTGTGATTTAGTTAAAATAAGACTTAGTTATCTAATTTACAAATTTATTATATATCTTCTCATAAATAAAATATATGTTTTATATTATTTCTCTCTTCCAATTAATTCCTTTTTCAATTAGACTGGAACTCTCCTCAAAATGTTTATAATTATATATTTTATTAAATTAAAAAATAAATCTTCTAAGAATGGCATAAGTAGGAGAGAATCTATATTTTAACTCAATGTTACTAATACCGATAGCTATATTCATAGGTGATTGATAATTATGTTAAAATATAATAATTGTGAAAAGATATTTATTTATTTAGGCGCACGAGGCAAAATTGTAGAGAAGGGTAGATAAGAGAAGAAAAGTGAGGTATAAGTCCGTACGTGAGCATCGATACATGTCTGTAACATCCTCGACCAACGACAACGTCCTAATATCTGAAGCTGCCGCGTCCGCCTTATTTTCCTTCTATGCCCTCCACGTGTCCCTCTCCCATTCGCTCTCTTCATTTTATTTTCTTTTTAATTTTTTTCTTCTCACACACACCACCGCACATGACACACTCGCACTTTCTCTCTCCTCCCACTTTTGAGCCTTCTCTCTCGTCGGAACGGATACGCTGAATATCTTCTTCTTCCTCTCTCTCTAGGTTCGCCCCACTTCTAGAGAGAGAAAATTCACCTCTTGTCTTTTCCAAAGGCATCAACTTGAAGAGGGTGTGTACGTGTTTGTGGGTGGTGGGTGCTTGTCACTTTTCGTTTGTTTCAACTTTCAACCCTCTCTTGCCTCTCCCAGTTTTCTAGGATGTAATTTTTCTGGGAGATATTATTATTTTAACCTTGTGTTGTAAGGTGCTTTTCATCTTTTATTTATTTATTTATTTATTTGTGAGTTCTTCTTCTTATCTTGTTTCTCTTTTCTTTATTTTTTTAGATGAACTTCTACCTAAAGGTCAGCTTCTCACTGAAGCATAAACAAAGAATATGATGCTTTTGGGCATGTGGGAAGGAGGAAGATAATTATTGATTCCTTTCAAGTTCATGTGAGAGGAAAAGATTGTGTTTTTATTTCTATTTTTCATTGTTTTTGGTTGTTCTGAATTAGGGGCTAAAGTTTGAAGATGTGTTGGAAATATTAGCACTCTGGAATTGGGTTTTTTATTTTATTTTTATTTTTACTGTGGAGATGTGTTCATGTAGAAAGGAAGATTCTGGGGTGGTTGGTTTTGTTCTGTTGTTGGATTAAAAAATTGATTTTATTTTTGTGATTTGTGTTAAAATATTTGTGTGGGTGACGATTAAAATGAGGAATTCCGGTATAGTTTAAGGTTGCAGCATGAGTTTCAGAGAGAGGGAGCTAGGAGAAGAGAGGGAATGTGAAGAATCGGTGTTGGGGAGCAATGAATCCAAATCAGTGAGGCAAAATGGGTCTTTGACAGACACAGAGCTAACAATTGATGAGAGTCTATTGGTTGACCCTAAACTACTCTATATTGGGTCCAAGATTGGTGAAGGAGCTCATGGGAAAGTGTATGAAGGAAGGTCAGTGGCTAAGCCTTGGATGTGTATACCATGTTTTGTAATTTGTATGCCATGCCCTAATTTCATTAATTTTCTTAAAAAAATTTCTGAGAAGTCATGTCAGATCCTACAGTGCTGGGATTTTTATCTACAATTTAGTTTTCATGATTATGCATATTTTGTCCCATTAGCTGGCAGAATTATTGTATTTTGCTTTTTAGTTGTGCTTCAGTGTCAAGTAAGAAGTCAATAAAGAGTTAATTACAGTGATTCTTTGTTGGTTCAAGCAGTAAATAACTCTACCTGTCACAAATTTCAACAACTTGGGACCTTTGTACTGATTTGACATGTCTAGGTTCCACAAGAACAAGAACATTTGCATGGTATTGATTTTTCTCAAGAACAATGAATTTCTAGATCTTGTCAAAGGGTGTTTGGTTTTACTTTGGCTATTGGAGTACCTGTTCAACTGTATGCTTGTGTGTGTGTGCATCAAGTAATTTTCTGGAAGTTGGAGTCATGATTTATGTGGGTATAGATTATTAATTTCCAGGTATGGAAATGAAATTGTTGCAATCAAAGTATTACATCGCGGGAGCACTTCTGAGGAAAGAGCTTCCCTTGAAAATCGTTTTGCTCGAGAAGTTAATATGATGTCTCGTGTCCACCATGACAATCTTGTTAAAGTGAGTGCCATTGTAGCAATTATCTTTACTGTTTCTGTGTAATTATGCTTTATTGAAGCCTATGTAATTATGTTAAGTATATTACAGTTTATTTTGCTTCATGCTAGTATGTAACTGATAGTTTCCTCTTATAGAAGATAATGATCTAACTAGATTTTCTTTCCTTATTATTATTCTTTTGCAGTTTATTGGAGCATGTAAGGATCCTCTTATGGTAATAGTTACAGAGCTATTACCAGGGATGTCGCTGCGTAAATATTTAACCAGTATCCGTCCTAAACAATTAGACCTTGATGTGGCTATAAACTTTGCCCTTGATATTGCTCGAGCCATGGATTGGCTACATGCCAATGGGATCATTCACAGAGATCTGAAACCTGGTACTTTTATGTACATATAGCACATTACATGTAATGGATAAGTTGTATGTTAGATGTTTTGTTATGGATTCCATGGTCGTAGTGTCCTAATGTGACTAAGATTGTTATTATAGTACTTACAAGGTGGATAAATTAATCTGTTTGCTGCAGCTCGCTGCTGTCCTGTAATATATATTTTTTGTTTTGGTTGCCAAACCTACGCAATGTCTCTTACTTCATTAAAATGTGTATCCTTATTCAACTATTTTTTGAAACTGTTGCCATGCAGACAACCTGTTGCTTACGGCAAATCAGAAGTCTGTTAAACTTGCAGATTTTGGTCTTGCAAGAGAAGAATCTGTGACCGAAATGATGACTGCAGAAACAGGAACTTACCGTTGGATGGCACCAGAGGTATGTTATATTGGAACATGATGTTACTGTTTGACCAACAACTATTATAATTATAAAATGTGCATCAGCCAGTCGATAAAGCTGGCACATTTTGCCGTTTATTATCTTGATTCATCATATCACTATTAACTTAAAATGATAATTTATTGTACTGATGTTATATAACATGTGTTGGAGACTCACTTGAAGTCCTATAGTTGCAGAGACTGAACTTAATGCTGAAGCAATGATATACACAAGCAATATTTAAAGTTTGGATGTACTTTTTGCTAGAATGGTGCGCAAAAGAATTAATCAGTCACAAACTCATAAATTTCATCTAGTTTTTCCTCAATTTTTGTGTCACTGCATTGCTTGGGGTGTGAATGTTTGCAGTAGAATAGTTGTTTCACTTCTTCATTTGATTGTGTGCACTACCATTGTTATTATCCCCCCACCCGCCCACATATATATACACGAAGTAGGAAGAGATGAGAGCAAGAGGAAAAAATTTCAACGGTGTAATACTATAATTCAAAAGGATGGATAAGATTAAAACTAGTTAAAAGATCTTGACTGTTCATATATGGTTGTATAGCCAAGATTAATCCTCTCACTTCTCACATTTTCACTATTTGTGTATATATATTATAACTCCATGTCTTTAGTTTCTACTTGCGGTAATTCCTAGTATACCCAGATAAAATTGAGGTTTAATTATTGTGCTGAACAGATAAAAGCCACAGTTAATTCCCATCTAGTCTCGTGTAATTTAGTTAGTACAGTAGTGCACATATTTATTAGGACCCTTTAGTGCACTGAAATCTTTCTATTATGATTGTATTATTATATACATGGAGTTTTTTTATGACACGGTTACATATTTTTGCAGTTGTACAGTACTGTGACATTACGTCAGGGAGAGAAAAAGCACTACAACAACAAGGTTGATGTGTATAGCTTTGGGATTGTTTTATGGGAGCTACTAACAAACCGCATGCCTTTTGAAGGGATGTCCAATTTACAAGCTGCTTATGCCGCTGCGTTTAAGGTATTAAATTCAACATTATAGCTCATTATTCGTCAATCAGTTAGTTGTCATTTTTGTCTCAAGTTAGAAATAATTGATGCAAATTTCTCTACTATGATCTGTGGATAGATTATTATGCACACATCTCTTATTCATGTCATATATAGTGTTGAATCATAATGGTTAATATATTAATTTCTACACTTCCAAAGCTACTTTTTTGGGAATATTTTTATTTGTTGCTATTTGCTGACCATGAAATGGTATGTTTGAGATTGCAGCAAGAGAGGCCTAACATTCCAGATGACATATCCCCTGAACTAGCTTTTGTCATACAATCATGCTGGGTTGAAGATCCTAACATGAGACCAAGTTTTAGTCAGATCATCCGCATGCTCAATGCGTTTCTCTTCACACTCTCACCCCCATCTCCTCCGTTGCCAGTACCTAACAATGAACCTGAGGTGGCTACAACAAGTAATGGCACCATTACTGAGTTTTCTGCCCGAAACCGAGGAAAGTTTGGCTTTCTTCGCCAATTGTTTTCTTCAAAGAGGACCAGAAACTAACATTGAGTGCTAAATTTTTTAAAATTCCCTTTTGTTGTAGATGAAAAGAGTTGCCTTTCTATGATATACAATTTTAGTACATTTATGAGTAACCATCTAAGGTGACCAAAAGGATGTAACAAGTTCTACAAAAAAAAAAAAAAAAGAGAATAGAATGTTGTTTATAGACTTTTTGAAAAAGTAAGGAAAGAAAAAAGGATTGTTTACATTATCTACTAGATCTTGGTGTAAAGGAACAGTTTGATTTAGACATTTTCCTGTTTTGAGAAAGGTTATTAATTACTGCGTAGGGATTCATTGTAAAGTAGTTGTTTCCAAACTCCAAAGGATGCTCAAAGGTTAGTTTGTTCTAATTTGTATATTTTGCTACTGTCTAGTAGCAGCATCTCTTATCTGGGATATTTCTGATTAGTTAATAATGCATAGTGTTTAATTTTAATTTTAATTTTTATTATTTTTAATAATTTTGCATTACCTAGCATCCGCATAAGCCTGTTTTCTATTTATATATGTAGATGTTAGCTGAAGGTGTGACTTTGAAAGTGATATGAAACTTGTAGAAAGTTGTTGAAAAATTATGTCTGTTATTTAGTCCTTTTGAAAATCTCTAAGATACATTTTAAAGTTTTTCTGGATTATTTAACTGCCACGGCATTTGAACTATATTTTAGGTTATGTGAGAAGAACAATGAGTATCTCAATATGCGTTTTTTTTCATTTGTCAATATATTTATCAATTCTTGCTAATATAGGACTGTAGGAGTTTGGTATTATCGTGCTTTCAATGTGTTAACCTTCACTGAAAACTTTTTTCTTAAAGAGTATCTCTTTTCTTAAATATAAATATGTTAATGTGTGAGAGGCTGTCATAATGATGCTGGTTTTAATTCTGATGTAATGTTATGGTAAAAGTTTCTTTTTTAGTAATTCTCCTATCTATTATCACATCATAAAAAAAATTTCTTGGGATAACTATCTCGAGTCATTTTAATGGTATAATAATATTGATTTAGTAACAATAAAAGAAAATTCGCTATCAATGTATGAAAATAAAACACTAGTTTTATGCATACAGAATCAGTTCTGAAATGTTTACTCTAACAGTCAAATGCAAATTTAAGATTCTCCTTTTTGGGGGAAACTAGCTTTCATAGTTGCAGAACTATAATTTGGAAAAGTATGGTACCAACTACAGAAGAAAATGGTAAAAACTTGAGCATAAGTCAATAAACATTTTTACGAGTACAAACACGAATGTTAGACTAAAAACGCATCCTATGATATTTGTTACCATTAGAGGAAAAAGACACCGTGTAACTTTAGCTGTTTTGAGATTTTGATGTCTCGAATTAAGTAATAAATTGATGCTCTCATAAGTTATTATTATTTAAATATCATTTTTTATTTTATTATAAAATCATTGATAATCTGCTCATAATTAAATTCTTTGAAAAATTATTTTTAATAGAAGCAAATAGGATTTTAAATTTTACTTCATATTTAATTTTGGATTACTATTCACTTAGAACCGACTTTTGTCTACCTTAATCGTACTCATGACCTTACTATGCACCTTTTATATTTTTAAATAAAATATAAAATGAGATTTTTTTTAGCAAGTAAATAATTATTTTAGTTCTCGAAAGTAGTGAACATTGTCACATTAATTTTTAAAATTAAAAAATATTAAATAAAATTTTAAAATGTCAGATAAATCTTTAAATTTTACTGTATATTATCATTTTGGTTCTTAAATGTATCAAATACTAATATCATTACTTTTTATATACATTTTTTTAGATTTACATTAATAAAACTGTCAATTTCCATTTTTAAAAAAATTATTCAATATTTTCTTAATTTCAGACAAAAAATATAACACTATCTTCCAAATTCTGGGAGCAAAATGTTCATTTACTATTTTTCTCTAGTAGCTGAAAGGGAGATGTTTACTCCACTAACCCTTATTTATTTATTTATTTTTATTTACATAAAAAATTGAATTTGAAAACTATGCTAAACTTATTTAAGATAAGCTTTAATTATTTTTTTTTTAAATCCCTTGATAATTAAAATCATGTGACAAACGTGAGTCCCACAAATTTAAGAACGTGAAGTGTCAATTATTGACACACACACGTGTGGACTGTGGTGTATTACAAACCACCTGATTTCTCCTTCTGTAGTCGCTGTCGGGCTTTGCCAAGGATGGTGGCCTCACACTCCTATCCACAATTTTATTTTAATTACAAAATATTACTCTTTTCGTCCAATCCATTTTTGCAAAAATAATGTAGCATATTTAGTTCTGTCTCTATATTTAAGTAACTATTCAATTTGAGTCTTTAATTAAAGAAACACGTGTTAACGACCTTTCATTTTTAGGTACATTTTTTTAAAGATTAAATAGTATTTTAGTTCTCATAATATATAATTTTTATTAGAAATTGTATATTTTAAACTTTTGAAATGTATTATTATTATTATTATTATTTTACTTTTCATTAGTTGGTTTTAATCTTTATAATGTTTAACTCATGTTGAATTAGTCCTTATAGTATGTTGACTATATTGAATTTAGTTTCTTAAATATGAACATAATCGACATGTTAGAAACTAGAAAGATCAAAATTAATATTGTCAATATATTGTAAGGTTATCAAATATTACAAAGACCAAGTTTAAGTAACAAGGACTAAAAGTAACATTATTTTTAATAAAACTTATTAAATATATTTTTAACATTTTATTATTATTGATTGAATCATAAAATTGCAAGTAAAATTCGTTTGATAGAAAGTACAATATACATAATTTTATGAATCTTAGTACATTAAAAAGGATTTTACTATGATTTTTCTATAAAATATTACAAACAAAATTATTAAACTTAATTAGATGATGGTACAAGTATACAACCTATTTTCTCTAAAAATAGTTAATAATCGGCATCTGTGCCTTTTACCTCCCCTCTCTTAATATGGTGTTATTGTCTTTGAAAATGACAATCTTGAACATGTGCAAACTCTACTGGGATGATTTTTTTTTAAAAATTATATATATACTACATATAGAGGAGAGGGGAGTTATAATTACACTGGTGTAACTTTTACTAAGTATTATACTGTTTAATAACTTTATATTAAATGCAAATTTTTTGTAAATCTAATCGTTAGATTGAAAGTTCATATCTCTTAAATCATATATACAAAATTTTATATTAATCCAAGATGATTTGATACTTTATTTTTATGAAATAAAATTGATGTAATATATTCATTTCAAAATACAGTAAAATATGAACACTTTGATTACCTCCAAGTTGTTGTTCAATGTTAACAAAATTTGATATACACGTATAAAGTGATATGAACTTTCAATCAAGCGGTTGGATTTACAAAATTCACATTTAATATAAAGTTATTGAGCGATGTAATACTTAGTAAAATTTACACCGGTGTAATTATAACCCCTCATATATATATATATATATATATATATA